GAGAGGGCGCGCATGAATACGCTCGGGCGAGAAGTACTCCGTCCAGTCCACCGAGTCAAGCGTCTGCCACTGTGCGTCGGTGAACTGTATCCCGGTCGCACGGGGCTGTGAGAGGGAAGGAGTATCGATGGTGGCGTCATGGACGGCGTGTGCCCTGCGAGCTGCGTCCGCAGGATGGCAGAAGGGGGTGTGGTGCTGGAGCGCGCGTCGGTTCGCGAGGGGGCTCCTGCAGTGGGCATATCACGGCCTGGTCGGGTGAAGTCGCCGTGTCGGCGGGGTCGATCGGGGCCGTGGTGTCGGAACTGGCTGTAGAGGGGACCCCGTCCGCCGCCTGAGCTCCCCGAAAAATCGCTGGGATAGAGGGGGGAGAGGGCTCACTGGCCCCCGTGCATGGGGGGTGGTGTCGGCAGAGGTGGAGGTGGTGCCACACTGGATGGGGCTGGGCCTCGTGGCAGTACCGGCCCCGAGGCCAGGGAGGAGGGGATGTGGGGTGGATCTGGAGTGTGGCCGTGGTATGCCCCTCTCCCTCGGTGGGGTGGGGTCGGAGTGGGGGCTCTGCTACGCCAGACGGAGGGGCATCAGCAAGGGCGGATGCCTCATACCTGACACTGGTGCCCTCCTGCGCCACGGGTAGTGTGTCGGCAACAGGCTGAGTGGGGGGAGGCACAACCACGTCTGGGTGCGAGTGACATGGCCTCAGAACCAGGTCTGTCTCCATCGGTGAGGGGAGTGACGAGCCAGGCTGGGTAGTGGGAGGGGTAGAAGAAGGGACCGAGCGAGTGACTTCCGCATACGTCCGGATCCGGGCCTGTGGGACTGATAAGGGGGGGGCAGCCGGGGAGCTGCTAGGGCCCTGTATCGCCAGCAGGTCTGAGATGGCAGCCCTCACCTCCTGTGGGGTTCCGGCGACCTGCCTGCCTGCTGGAGAGGGTAGGAGCGTTGGCCGAGTGGGGGATGGGGTGGGGCCAGCTGGCCAGGCGGTGCTCAGGCATGGTCCTTGGCCTAAGAGGCCAGCATGGCCCTCTCCGATGGCCATGGGCTGCGGTAGGGAGCCATCGACATGGACGGGGTGGGAGGTATGAGACGAGGAGTCAGTGGCGTCTGCCATGGCCACATCTCTCCTCCCATCGGCCTCTATCCTGGTAGCGCATGCGGCCGCCGCCATCTGGGGGGGGTGAAGACCGAGTGAGAGGCGGCCCGGGAGTGAATGAGCTGGTTCGTTCTCCTTGTCCCCTGGAGAGGCACACACGGGAGGCGGGGTGGGGTTAGATGGTTGGCCAGTAGGTGTAAGGCCTGGTGTGGGTTGAGCGTGATGTGGGGTAACGAGGGGCGCCTGGGAGGGGAGGGAGGGAGAGGGGAGTAGATTAGCTGGCTCTTTGCCTCCTTTCCCTTTGTTCTTCCGTCGGCGGCCAGCCTTGTGTTGGTTGTCCATGTCTGGCTGTGAAGGAAGGGGGGGCTGAGAAGCCGACAGGGTCGGTGGGGGGAGGACGGGTGGTTGGCCATGTGGGGGGAGCTCAGTGAGCATCCCATCTGCCCCTATGAGATGGGCGATGTTTGCCCAACGTGGCCACTCGTGTGGAGGCGCACCGAAGGAGGGGTTGTGTGCTGTGGGGAAGGGGCTAGGGCAGTGTGGAGGTTTGGCCGTGGTGCCTGCGGAGGGGGGAGTGAGGTCTGAGGTGGCTGTATGGTGGAAGGGGGTGGGGAGGGGAGATGGGACCGCGGTTTTGAAGTTGTGCCCCCGTGCTGTGGGTTGGGGTCAGGGCCCCTCCCACTGGTGGCCTCTCCTGTGGGCCCCTCTACCGAGATGTCGTCCCCCCCATAAGCTAGGGGCGAGGGCCCTTGCGTATGGGTCTGAGCTGCTTGGGGGGGATGGTGTGAAAAGGGCAGCACTTTAGGTGAAAGGGTTGGGGCTGTGCGGCGGCTTGGGTGGTTAGGGTGTATGTAGGGTGTGGGGCGCTGGAGGGATGGAGGGTGATGTGGCCCGGTTGAAGTTGGACTGCGAAATGTGTGTAGCTCCGGGTGGGGGAGGACCTGGTGGAGGGGGAGGTAGCAGGCAGGCAGGAGAGGATTGGGACTTTTAGGGGTCGGGAGCAGGGCTCCGCCAGGAAGGCCAGGGCTCTGGCTGCTCCCGTGGTGCTCGGAGGAACCCTTGGGGTGGGGGGGCAGAGTGTGCTGGTCTTGGGGGGAGGGGAGGAGCGAGGAGGGGTGAGAGGTGAGAATGGGGGCATCCTTGGGAGGCTCCGCCCTTACTACGCCTGTGCGCCCTCCCGGTGGACCGTCTTCATGCGAGGGGTCTGTCATTGGGGGAAGAGGGGGGGGCTGGTCATAGGACTGTGTAGGAGTCGGGGAACATGGCTCCGCTAGGAAAGCCAGGGCCCTGGCTGCCCCACTGGATCCTGGAGGGGGTCCCGGAGGGTTGGGGCGGGGGTGTGGTGTGCTTCTGGGAGAGAGTGGGCTGAAGGTGGGAGGTAGGGGTGGGCGCGCCCTCAAGGGGCTTGGTCCTCCGTACTCCTCCAGTCCCTCCATCGGTTCACCTGCCATTGGGGGGTTGGGAATGGTGGGGGAAGTAGAGACCTTGCCATGGGGCTGCAAGGGGGCTAGATCAGCCTCATCGGCGGGTGTGAGGTAGTGGTTCAGTGGCCCGTCGATGTGCATCGCGTCCTCGGGTGCCCCTACGCCCCCTGAGCCCACACCCCCTGCTGGCTCTTCCCTGCCCGCCCTTTTTGCGGCCCCTTGCGCTCCATATGCCGTCTCTCTCCGCCCTGCTGTGGCCTCTGTCGCGCCTACAGCAGCCTCCACCGCCCCCACTGGCTGTGCCATGGCCCCCTCTCTTACTTCGGCTGCAGCCATACCTTTTGTCCGTGTGGCCCTTGCTGTCCCTTCTCCTGCTGCAGTCACTCTCTCGCCTCCCCCTGCTACAACCGGGGCCGCGCTCTCCATTGCCGCTGCCTTCGTTACACTCTTCCCCCTTGCAGCCGCTATAGCCCTCTCCCTTGTCCCTGCCCCAACCGTGGCCCCGGCCGCCCCTGGTGCGGCCTCTGTGGCCTCACCTGCTGCGGTCTTTGCAGCCTCACCTTCTGCGGCCCCTGCAGCCCCACATGCTGCAATTCCTGCAGCTTCAACTGCTGCGGCCCCTGCAGCCTCTCCTTCCACCAGCCCTGCGGCCTCACCTGCTGCAATCCCTGCAGCCTCACCTACTACAGTCCATCCAGCCCCCCCTGCTGCAGTCTCTGCAGCTTTAAATGCTGCTGTCCCTGCGGCCTCACCTACTGCTGTCCCTGTTGCCTCACCTGCTCCTTCCTCTGCGACCTCGGCTGCCCCTTCCCGTGCGACCTCTACTGCCCCTTCTTGTGCAGCTTGTGCTGCCCCCTCCCGTGCAGCCTCTGCTGCCCCTTCCCAAGCAGCCGTTGCTGCCCCTTCCCGTGCAGTCTTTGCTGCCCCTTCCTCCGCAGCCTCTGCGGCACCTGCAGCCCCACTTGCTGTAGTTCCTGCAGCCCCACCTGCAGCGGTCCCTGCAGCCTCACCTGCTGTGGTCCCTGCAGCCCTAACTGCTGTGATCCCTGCAGCCTCACCTGCTGCGGTCCCTGCGGCCTCACCTGCTGCGGTCCCTGTAACCTCACCTGTTGCGGTCACTTCAGTCTCGCCTGCTGCGGGCCCCACAGCCTCACCCACTGCGGTCTCTGCAGCCCCACCTGATGCGAGCTGTGCCGCCTCACCTGCTGCGGTCCCTGCAGCCAGCTCCGCTGCTCTTCCTGCAACTCCCCATCCTGGGTTTTCCGCAGTGACCTCGGCAGCCCCTTCAGTGCAGCCTTTGCTGCCCCGTCCCGTGCAGCCTCTGCTACCCATTCCTCTGCAGCCTCTGCTGCCAATTCCTCTGCAGCCTCTGCTGCGCCTTCCTTTGCAGCCTCAGCTGCCCCTTCCTTTGCCTCCTCTGCTGCCCCGTCCCGTGCAGCCTTTGCTACCCCTTGACAGGTAGCCTCTGCTGCCCCTTCCGCTGCAGCCTCTGCTGCCTCTTCCCGTGCAACCTTTACTGCCCCTTCACCCATAGCCTCACTTACCCCTTCCCCTGTAGCGTCTGTTGCAAAGTTCTCCCCTGCTCTGCCCTCTCCCACCTTTATGTGCCTGGGTGCGCGGGTGGGATTTGGCGTTTTCATGGATGTTTTGGCCTGAGAGTGGGAGGTAGTGTGTGAGTTAGCAGACCTCTCCCCTGGGCGTGCACAGGCGCCCCCGCTATCATCTGGATGGAGGGTGGGCGAGGATGGGGCAGTGGGGTTGGGGCGGGGTTTTGAGCGTGCTGGCTCCTCGTCGTGTGTTTCTTCCAGTGGGGCTTGGCGTTCCTGCACTCCATCTTCTTCAAGGGTACGCTTCTGGCCCCGGGGGTCAGAGCGCTTGGGTGTTTTCGCTTGCTCCGATGTGTGTTGTTTTTTCCTAACTGTTGAAGTGGGAGGAGTGGGTGCGTAGGGGGTGGCTCTGCTGCGGGCCCTCCCAGATCGCCGAGGGGCTCCCGGGTCTGCCTTCCCCCCACTCGCGGGGTGCTGGGGCATGGTTACAGGAGCGGCATGCCTGGTGGTGGCGGTGTGGGTGGCTGGGATTGGCTGGAAGGGGCGTCAGAGGGAGTAGATACTTCCTGGCAGAGGCCGGGGTGAGGGGGGGTAGCTTGGGAACAGGGGAAGGAGGTAGGGAAAGGGGTGCGTGGTGGGCTGGAGAGGGGGTAAGAGGGGCAGACCAGTGGAAGGGGTGGGGGACTGCAGAGGGAGTGGCTGGGGGACAGAAAGGGAGAGGAAGTGGTGGCGGGTTGCAGGGGAGGTGGGGGAGCGGGGGTGATGGAGCGGGAGGTGGGCAGGGTGGTGGAACCGAAGGTGGGGGGCTGGAACAGAATTCAAAGGGAGGTGGGGGTGGGCAGGTGAAGCAAAGGGGTAAGGGAAAGGAGGAGGGCCAAGGAGGAGGGCAAAGGGCAGAGGGCAAGGGGCGAATAGCTGTTGACGAGGGAACGGGTGGTCAAGCTGGTGTGAGCCTGGCAGTGGGTAAAGGAGAGGCCCCGGGGCGGGAGGTGTGAACGTTGGAGGGCAGAGAGGGCACCGAAAGGAGGGACTGTGGTGAATGGAGAAGTAAATGGGGGCTGAAAAACACAGGGGACGGAGGGGACGGGGGACACGGCGATAGGTGATAATAGCGGAGGGGCGGCCCCCAGGGGGAGTGAAGGTGGAGGATATGAGGAAAGGGGGGGTCTGGGGTGGGTTGGGGAAGAGGGCGGGAAGGCACAGGGGGCAGGAACACGGGGAGTAGAGGGTGGCTGCGGATGGGAAGGCTGTCTAGTGCCGGGGTGGGACAGGTGGATCGCCGGGGGGACAGGGGGAAAGGAATGCTGGGGTGATGTCCACGCTGGATACAGATGAGGGGGAAATGGCGGCTGGGGGGTGAGCCCGGCTCGTAGAGAGGTGGTGGGCCGAGTGGGGGTGGGCTGCTGAAGGGAGACAGGTGGGGGGAGAGAGGGGGTACGCTGCAGGGAGGGAAGTAGGGGAACATGTAGCTGGGTTAGGAGGGGGGTGGGTGGGGGGGACGAGGGGGCGGGGCAGTGGGGGCAATAGCACGTCCTGAAACCTGTTCTTGTTCTTTCTTTCTTTCTCCTTTTGGCCTTCTTGTCTTTATGTCGGCAGTGCTATCCGCGGGTACGTGACTGCTAGCGGCGTGTGCATATCTACTAGCGGCGGGGGTATGCGACTACTAGCGGCGTGTATGTGACTGCTAGCGGGGTTATGTAACTGCTAGCGGCGGGGGCGTGATGCTGGCGGCGGCTATGTAGGCTGGGTTAGCGGCGGCGGGCAGTGCTAGCGGCGCGCAGCACTGTGAGCGGGGCGTGCTGGCAGCGGACTACGCTGGCGACGGCTATGCGGGCCTTGCTAGCATCTTGGATAAGGCCACGGCACGGCTATTGTTCCGCGTGTCCGTGCGGACGGCAACGCCCTTGCGTTCCTGTCCCTATTCGACCGTCAAAGGTCACGTGTGCAATGGAGGTGGCAACAGTGTGGTGTGGAGACGAAACGAAAACCTAATTGCATGATAAATGACAAAAACGATGGAATTAGGGTTAGAGGCAGTGATAGAAACGGTGGTAACAAGGCGTCGACGCGCCTGTGTCCTAAAAACGCCGGTGCGCCAATGAAATCAAGTCGACCGCGGCGGGGGAAAGGGGCGCCTGCGTAACCGCCGCTAGAAAAAACGACGATCTCGCGGCCTCCCGCGTTTCCCTTCGCGACGGTCGACTGTTGCGTGCTAGTGGAGGAAAGGAATCGATGCGTTAAGCGGTGCGCCGCAAAAATAGCCGAGTCGCGCGCCACTATCTGCTGGGAAATCGGCCTATTCTATAGTTCTAAGCTAAGCCTCTAACGTCGAATGTCGAGAGAAAGGGAAATGGGAAGGGTTAGAAGGGGGGGAAAGGGTAGGGCGCGAGTAGCGTTACTGGCGGGTGCAATGTCGAGCTGGTCCCCGGGTGCTGTAACCGCGGAACCGCCTCGCTCCGCTTCGCCCGTTACGCCCGTTGCAGCGCGCCCGCAGCCTCCCCACGATGGCGGGGTCGGGAAAACGGTTCTGTCTCACCGAGCGAGGACCGTTTCCGAGGGTCTAGAGGGTCGCGCGCGAAACTCGCAACCCCCGTCCCGTCGAACTCGACCGTCGGGAAATAAAAACTCAACCGTTAAAACTCCTTATATTAGTAATAGAAACGACTAACACAATCGCCTTGTCATTAACCAACTCGAAATAGTAGGCTTAGGAGCCTCCTTAGGAGGCTAGCTTAGGTAGGTAAGAGCTAGGTCAAGGTGGGCGAGAGCAGTACTGGGCTGGGTGACCTCCCGGGAAGTCCTCGTGTTGTACCCATTTATGCCCCTCGCTCGGCACGTGCCGGGGAGGGGCAAGCGGGAAAAAGAAAGGACGATTTTAGCGCGTCGGGACTTTTCATCTTCGTTTTTTTGCCCCAACGACGACTCGGCGGGGTGGAGGGCCACCGAGAAGGGTTGCCCGCGCGAAGAAGAACCGCCTCGTGGGCACGACCGTTGGGCGGTGGGAGGCCGCACACGGTCGCGGGGTGGAGAGCGGAAACGGGCAGCCGGGGGAGCGTGGGGGCGGTTGGATGGGACTGGAGCGTACGGGGGGCCGGGAGTTGAGAGGGCAAGGGGAGGGGCAGCAACGGGCAGGGGTTGGGCCAGCTGAGGGCAAGGAAAAAGGGGGCGGGCGGGGGGTGAGCGGAGGGGCGAGGGATGCAACGGAGGCACGAGAGGGGAGAAACGAGTGTCATGGAGGGGGGAAGTGAGGGGCGCGCGGTGGGAAACAGCAAGGGGGTGGAAGAGGGGCAGAACGGGGGGATGCGGGCAGGAGGGGCGGGTTGTGGGGGCAGGGGAAGCGCGTGGGCAGGAAGCGGGGAAACGGAGGTGGGGAAGGGGGGGGGGTGAGAGAGGGGGCGGTGGGGGGCGGTGGGGGGGGAGGGGGGACGGGGCTGGCGGTTGTAAGGGGGCAGCAGGGAGGGGGGGGAAGAGGGCGTGCGGAGGGGAAAGCAAAGGGAAGAGAGGGAGGAGGGGAGGGGCGGGGGGAGGGGAGAAGCCGAACGTACCGAGGGAGGAAACACGGGGGCAGGGAGGGTAGAAAGCAAGGGCAGGGTGCGGGGGGGAAGCAGGGGCAGGGAGGAGGAGAAGCAGTGGGTGCGTGGAAAACACGGGAGGGGCAGGGAGGAAGAACCGTGGGGCAGGGAGGGGCGAAACCGGGGGCAGGGCACGGGCAGGTGGGGGGGGGGGGGGGGGGGGAGGAGGGGGGGGGAGAGGGGAGGGTAGAGAGGAGAGGCACGGTGAAAGAAAGGGAGGGGCAGGGAGGGGAAAAACCGAGAGTAGGGGGGCTGAAAACGAGGGGCAGGGCGGGGAGAAGGGAGAGGCAAGGAGGGGAGAAGCCGAGCACACCGGGGGAGGAGACGCGGGGCAGGGAGGTGCGAAGCCAAGGGCAGGGAGGGCAGAGCGCGGGGGCAGGGAGGGGAGGGAGGACGGGGGCAGAGAAAGGCCACGAGGGGCTGAGAGGGGAGATGCCAGGCGCAGGGGGGCGAGAAACGAGGGGAAGGGAGCGGATTGAGGGGAGGCAGGGAGCGGAGCTGCTCGGGGAGGGGACGGATGCAGCGCGGGGCAGAGGGGGGAGGAGGAGGAGAAGGTAAACGCGGGGAGGGCACGGGCGGGGAGGAACGTGCGGCGGGCGGTGGGAAACGACAAAGGGGGGCAGGGGGGGGTCAAAAGAGGAAGCCAGGGAGCAGGAACACGGGGGATAGGGGCGGGGGGAGCGGGCGGCAAGAGGGGGGCCCGGTATAGGGGGTGTGACAATAAAGGGGGGGGGAGCCGTGCAACGGGTGTGTACGGGTCCAGGCTCGGGATGGACGTGGTACGATCATACCTCGGCTACTACGCCGGATCCCATCAGAACTCCGAAGCTAAGCGCCGGTGGGCGAGAGCAGTTATTCATTAATAAGGGAAAGTCAAATACAAGTCGAATATAATGGTTTTTCCAAAACTAGGAAATTTCGGCATGACCATTTCCCTATGAGGACGGTAAATATATATTAGTAGGTAACAAGGGAAAGAGAGAAAAGGGAAGAAAGGATCATGAGGTAAGAAGAGGTAGTAGGAGACAGAAGAGAGTGGTGGGAAGAGAAAAGAAGGATAGAAGAAGGGAAAGAAAGAGGAAGGTGGAAGGAGAAGAGAAGAAAGGGAGAGAGACTAAGGAGGAGGAAACACCTAGGGACCAAACACGGCAGCAACCCGCACGACAGCGCGGGCCCAGTGTTTCAAGCACAGCCACTATTGTTTTCTACACATACGCATCATATATATATTGCATGTCTGCAGCACTCTCGAAGCACCCTGTGATATGGTGCCAGGTACCCTGCCCCGCACCCAGTGGAACCGGTGCGGGCATCCACCCGTCGTCGGACCCCCCCGCCTGCCG